TGGGACGAACTCTGATATTTTTTTATAAACTTTCTGACTTTTTATAGATGGAAATGAAGGAAACACTTTAGAAGTTTTTACTAAAAAACACAGAGGTCACCACAGACCTCTAGGACAGTGTAGCCGGCAGTTAGAGTCCGTAGCCAAAGGGCTGCCCCCCTGCACGGCAGCCCTCTCTGCCTCAGCCATGTAATGCGAGCACGCAGAGAAAACAGTGACGGGCTCTCCTTTGTTCACCTTCCTCATCCTGTTGAACCTCCACTGAGTTCTCATCCCACTCAACCCTTTGGTCAGTCGACTGGCTTTTGCTTTCTGCACCTAGTATTACTCGAGCTCCATGTTACAGTCTTAACCCAGAAATTTTGCTACCTTCTTAGCAGGATGAACATGTCCACGCTTGTGTTTTGCTTATTGACCACATTCTTTTTAATTTTATTTTATTTTTATTTACTGTAGAGAGAGGGCAAGGGAGGGAGAAGGAGAGGGAGAGAAACATCTACATGCAAGAGAAACATGGATTGGTTGCCTCTCACAGGCCCCCACCTGGAGACCTGGCCTGCAACCTAGGCCTGTGTCCTGACTGGGAATCAAACCGGCCACCTTTCAGCCCACAGGCCAGTGCTCAATCCACTGAGCCCCCCTGGCCAGGGCACTGACCACATTCTTGTTCCTAGGACTGCTTCATAGGAAACGCCTGTTGATAATGCTGACTTCATTTGGCTTACAGATGGATCTTTTAGAGATGAACAGAGATGTTACCAAGATGCGTGTGTGATCATTTTCATGGTAGACATAATTGAAAGTTCTTATTTACCTAAATAAGATCTGCTTAAGAAGCTGAGTTAATTGTTCAAACCGAGGCTTGTCAATTGGCTAAAGATCAAATAGCCGATATTTACACTAATAGTAGCTACACTCTTGGTATAGCTCGCAGCTTTAGAATGTTGCAGAAGCAGTGAGGCTCCTTAACTTTCTCAGGGCAGCCCAAAGAATGGAAAATAAGTTATAGAATTATTAGATGTCATACAAAATTGAAACAATTAGCAATTATCAAAATTCCAGAACATTCTAAAGCTGCCACCATGAAAGCAAAAGGAAATCATTTAGCTGATGCTGCAGCTAGTCAAGCCGCATTAAACAGCCAAATTATCCACACCTGAGAATGCCCCTGCTTCCTATTAAATCAATAAAAGACTCTCTTTCACAGTTTCAGTAGATAGCTGCATTAGAGGACAAGAGGGCAACAAAAAGAAGGAAACTTTGACCAGACAAATAGATATGGTTTGGACCTCATGAGAAACCAGTCTTGCCGACACTTTAACATGTGCATGAGCTAACACACTGAAGTCCTGAAAAGATGATTTTGTGGAGTAAACAACATTACTGGAAACCTTTTCCTACTGTAGCTCATGAGATGGACAGCAGATGTTCTATCTGTCCAACTATAACCCTGAAAAACAATTCTACAGGTTCCAGGGACATTTTCCCCTCCTTTAGATCCATATGAGTTATGATCATTGAGTTTTATCCAAATGCCACTATCTCAAGAATACAAATATGTGCTAGTTATGATTTGCACGCTCTTCCACAGGGTTGAAGCATTCCCTTAATGGTGGGTGAATTAGTTCCCAATGGGGGGATTCCCTCTGAGTTACAGTGAAATGAGGGACTCATTTCACTGGGCAAATAATGCAATGCACTTGTATTGATTGGCCTATGCTACGGTATTTTCATTGCATCTATCACCCCAGTACTCTGGGTTGATGGAACAGGCAAATGATACAGTTAAAACTTGACGAGGTAAATTTTCAGAAGCTTTTAATTTCCTTGGCCAAAAGCTCTCCTTATAGTGCTCCTCAACCTGAAATCAACGTCTTTTGGTAAACACATAGCCTTTCTCCTCATTCAGTAATCGCTGGTCACCCTACACATCCAGATGTAGGGACATATGAATCAACTTCCTAAAAGGAGACATTCTGCATTATTATCAAGGACTTATTAACCAGTGTGGAGGGACTGATAAATTAGTAACCAATTCATTTCACAGTGCACTCCCGAGGGACTAAGACCACAGCTTACAACCAGGAAGTTTTGTGCATTGAAAAAGACATCAATTAAAGACAGTCTGCAACGTCATTGGGAGGGACCTTATCAAGATGCTTAACCGAAAATGAACATCCGCCTCTGTCTCTGCCGCTTGCCCCTCCACCTAATGTGGAGGTCAAAGACTTCTGTAGGATGGGGAGCTGCCACGTCAGAGACAGACGGCTTTCCCAAGGCCTCCACAAGGCGCACGTACCTACAAATTGATGTTGAACCTCATCTGTTTGCCTTTACCTGTCTGCTAATGTTAATCATAATAATAATTATACTTGTTCTTTGGGCTTTTCTCAAACCTCGTGTATAGACCCCAATTGTTAATAATTGACGAAGCTGTAGGTAGATGACTTCTGTATTATCAATAATACTATTTATGGTTTCTCTTTTGAAATTTAGAAGGAATGTTAGTGCAGGAGGAAGGAAAGGGGTGTGTGTGTGTGTTTAAGAGAGGTTAAAAGTATGTAGTTTGTCCTAATAAGTTGGTTATTTCTGAACGAGTAAAGAGAAACAAAGAAGAACAAGGAAAGTTGTAGAAGATTAGTGGAAAAGGAATGTTGAGAATGAAATTTTATGGATAAATTCTAGAATCTAATTATGGGAAAATGCTTACCCCCAACCCAACAAGGACGACTAACTACATTAATTCGGATGGAAGCTGAAGTGCCTATAAAAATGAAGCCCTCTGTAACCACTGCTGAGGCACAGGAAGTTTGCTTACAAAAATCTTACCGTCCTCCTGGCCTCTAGAATTTTTAGATGGTCATTATAACTTATACCATTTTGTTCTTACAGTCTTGGCCCCGAATAAGCCTGAAAGCCACAGCTTCCAGTTGCACGACTAGCAGGTGTGTCAGCTGACTAATGAGCAGCATTGGAGTGCTCCCAATGGGACACAGACGGGCCCTAGAGAATGGGAACCCATCTCATGGTCAATGGCGACAGCTGATGAGCTGAATGGGCGCCCTCAAACTATGAATACGCACTATACTAGATGCAAAACACAGAAGTGAGACAGCCAGCAAAGCCTGGATTGTGACAGCTGATAGGTTGAAAGTGATCTGGAGTGTTTTCCTTAACAAAGGCCCATGAGACTTGACTGCCTCCCATTCACCTGCTTTTCGCCTTGGAGAAAAATTCAGCCTTGACTTCCTTCCACGGTTGCCATCTCGCTCCATCCCCAATGGTCTATCCTCCAGCAAGACAGACTTTGATGTTAGGACTTCCTAGGAATGAGCCTTCCTAGCACCTTGGGGCCGAATTATTCAACCAGAAGGTTCGTCACCAGTGCATCCCGTGGACTGATTTATGACCAAAGGGGAAAGCGTGGATGAAAAAGTGGCCACAGACTAAGCCTGACAAGCTCAAGGGAGGCCTTCACGGTGGCCGTACAAACTTAGACCTGAAGCAACTACTTACTGATGCAGACACCGGCCCGCAGTGTCCGAGTCATTATGGATGAAATGAGACATTCACACGGACTACCAAGTCTGGTGGAGGAAAAGGGACAGCATGGCTTTTCTCTCAAGGGGAGCAAAGGCCTTGGCCCTTGCCATGACAGGCCTTTACTGAGTTTCTCAGCACAGTACATGATGGTCCTCATTTGCTATGCACAAGCTCGCTTTAGGTGGTTACCTTTTACAGAAAACAAAGGAGCCAATGCCGCTAATCACATCACAAAAGAGGGATATTTGCAAATGAAAGGGCAAAAGTGGTTGAACCAGTTACACTCATCCTTCCAAAGGTTTAGCATGGATTTTAGGAAGTTACTTTGCAGTAAATGTCCTCAGTTCAGGGTGAGGGAGTTTTTTAGCAAGAGCAAGACTCATAGTGGCCTAGGCACATTGCAGGCCTGATTCCCCACAGGAGAACCTATCCGTGGGTGTGGGTCCTGTGCATCTCCCAGTGGGAGCTGGGCCCACATCACACAGAATGGTCTCCTACAACCTAGGATGCTCAGAAAGTAAGACTTCCTAACTAAAAGTGAGTCGTGGCAGATAGTCACATCCTAGGCCGTCTTCCCAGACAAAGGGCAATCTTTACGTTCACTGAGCCTGTCTGTTGTCTTTTTGCACCTAGGACAACAGACCTTTGGCATGCCAGGGTAATTTCCATTCTGCAGACCCATCAGGGCACAATCTCCCATCAGAGCAGGAGACCACAGAGCCCTTCATTGTTATTGTTATCGTGTTAATTCTTAACTGTCAACTACACTGTACCCACCAGTGTAAAAGAATTATGTGTCTATTCATTTTACTTTTTATCTAGTCCCAGAGATCCCCCCCCTTTGCCTTCTCCCACCTCCCCAATCTATCACCAGTGGATTTCGTGTAACCCCCTTCCACCTCCTCCTTTGATTGTAATGTATAAAATAAGGGGCAAAACACCACTCTGACTGCAACCTCTTGGGAGCATAATCTGAGCGTAATAATTAAAATGAAAATGTGCATACCCTATGATGCAGAGACCCCACTCTGGGATTTCGGATGAAATAGAAGTACCAGTATGTAAAGACACATGTGCAGGAATTCCTCCTGTAGCTGTGCTTGCAGAGTTTCAACACCCATGAACAGGGAGTGGTTAAATAAGTTATGCTACATAAAATAGATGTTGTGGGATTCTCTGAAGCTATTTGAAAGAATGGGAGAGGACCGCACCTACCCCTGAAAGTTTGCCCCTAGTTCACCAGTTAGAAGAAAGAAGCAAGTTGGAGTTGAGCGGAGCCCAGGAAGGAGTTCCAGGCTGGTGGAGCTGAGCTGCAACCCTGCTGTGCCAGGAGCTGGGGAAGTGGTCCAGCCAAGATACAAGATCACCCCACCCCCATTCTCTGAGGAGTCTGGGACCCCCAGAGCCTGATCCTCCTCTTCTCCAAAGTGGCCAGGCCAATGGGTAAGAGAACTCACCTTGGGGCGGCGCCAGGCGGGGTGGGGCCTCCTGAGTGTGGCTGGTTGGCTCTCCCACCCGAGAGACAGAGGGGAACCAGGGGAGGAGCAGGCAATGAGCAGGGCGCAAACTGGACTTGGCCAATAGCATTTCCTCTGCCACCTGGACAGGAAGAGAGACACTGCTAACGTTACTGCTGTCTGGGGCATTGGAGTCCAGTGCATTAGCAAAAACACAGACCCTGCCATCAGGCAGTCCAAACCCAATGCAGTCCATTAGACACAGCTAACAGCCCTCCAGTTCCCATGGGGTTCCACTGTGAGTCCCTTAAGAACAAGCTTCCAAGAGCTTCTTCCTTTCTCCCCCAGGGTCCTGACTTGCACTGGTATCCTCCCCAGTGGCCCAGGATAGGGGTGGGGATGGGGGTGGAGGGATCTTAGCTCCCCACGCTGGATGTGCAGCTCATGGACCAGCATCAGCACCAGGACTCCATAGACAGCCCAGGTCAGAGCCTGCATTTTCACAAGATCCCTGGGGATCCTTATGACTATCTGAGTCTGAGATCTGAGTCTGAGATCTGAGTCTGAGGGGCAGTGGCAGGACCCCAGACCCTCTGAAGGGGCTCTGGTCATGGAAGTGCTCTGTGACCAAGTCTTTTCCTTGTAAATACTGACAGCTTTCTTTTTCTTGATTTTGTTTATTTATTTTTAGAGAGAGGGGAAGGAAGAGAGAAAGAGAGGGAGAGAAACATCAATGTGTGGTTGCCTCTCCTGCACCCCATGCTGGGGACCTGGCCTGCAAACCAGGCCTGTGTCTTGACTGGGAATCGAACTGATGACCCTTTGGTTTTCAGGCTGGTGCTCAATCCACTGAGCCACACCAACCAGGGCAAAATACTAAGAGCTCTCTGGCTGCACTTGGGTGAGTGGTTATGTTGGCAGGCTCCTCCCTCCTGTCTCTTTTATCATCTTGTCAAAACCCTTCTTCAGAAGCGAGTGGAGGGAGGGAAATCCCATCCTGGCACACTAAAAATGCAGGAAGGTAAAGGGAGGGGAGGAAAAGAAAGAAAGAGAGAGGGAGGCAAGGAAGGAGAAAGGGAGGGAGCCGGGCATGAGCACAGTGTGTTCGGAGGAACCAGGCTGCGGGAAAGGGTCCTGCATCTTCCCCATCCACTTCTCTGTTTTCTGTCCTGAAAAATCATCCCAGTGGTTCCCTTCTTGGTTTTCCACATGACTAAGCCCCACGGGTCTCATCTAATCATACCTCGGACTGCCTGGCTGCCTCTCCCCAGTTCTTCCAGCCCCAGCAGAACCCAGCACGGGCACAGACCTGAGCACACCACGCCCCCCCCAACCTTTCTTCCCCCACACCCACGCCAAGGAGGGTTCTCCTGGTGGCCCGGCCGAATGTGGGGGCTGGTCTGGGGTCTCCAGGAGCTCACGACATGGAAGGGTCCGTCCGGCTCCTGACCTGCTTGGTATGCGTCCTCCCAATGGGTGAGTCTCCCCCTCTTCTCTCCGGCCCCTGCTGGGGACAGAACAGGTGCTCATAAAACCCTCAGCACAGTCTTCCCTCCTTGAACTCAGAGCAGCCGGGTTTCCCCACAGCCTCCGGCCCGGCCCGTGGAGGAGGAAGAGCTGCACTTTGGGAGGCGGTGGTGACAGAAGTTCAAGTCTGGGCTTTGTCTTGGGAAAGTGACAGAGGCAGACCTCTGACTTCTCTGGGCTTCGGTGTGCCCACCTGTAGAGAAGCCAGCTGGCCCACCCATTGCTGGGAGGGTCCAGGGAGATGATGGGCCAGGTATGGGGAGGACAGTCCGGGCACTGAACAGACTTTGGCTGCTCTGTCACCCAAGTGTTTCACGTCTTGAAGGGCAGACACAAGGAGAGGGGAGGACAGCACATGGAGGTCTGGGGTCAGGATGGGGATGCGTTCTCGGGGGAAACAGAGCAGGTGGCAGAGGGTGCCCTGCCCTCCCATCAGGAACCCCAAAGGCTGAGGGAAACTCTCTGTGGCAGGCTTGAGTAACAACGACACCTGCGTCATTTAGCTCAGTGCATTAGTGTCCCTGGGAACCGTGTGTCTCCACGACTGATCGGGGACCACCCGCATCACAAACCCAGAGGCGGGGGGCATCTGTTACAATGCAGGCTCTTCAGCTCCGCCCCAGACCCATGCAGTCACATCATCAGGCAGCAGAGCCCAGGAATCTGCATTTTCAACCCCCATCTTGAGCGACGACGGTGGTCGGTGCCACTGAGGGCAACTGGGATAAATGTCAGAGGCCATGCTCTGAGCGCCTCTGTCCAGGCCCCTTGACCCCAGCCTAAGAGGCCCTTCCCGTGACTGCCGGACGCAGCACCCGTCCCTTCGTGTGCACCGCCACTGCTGTCACGTGCTGCGTGGTGACTTGGCTGGCATCATGTTTTCAGGTGTCAGCCGACAGTCCTTGTGTGGGCTCCTGTCCCCAGGACTGGATGATAAACGCCCAGTCCCTCAGGTCCTCTCCTTCTTCTCTAGCAGAGTCCAGTCAAGGTCAGGTCTGGGTCAAATGGAAACGGGAAGTGCCGCAGAGCTCTCAGTGCTGGCGCTGTCATCAGTAACGCACGTCGGCCTCAGACCCGCGAGGGAGGAACTCTCCTGTTCCCCTTCCACAGACGAGGACACGGGCACAGAGGGCTCCCGTGAATGGCTGCGGGTAGAGCTGAGGTGTGAGCCCGGCTGTGTGTGGGACCCCCTCACTGCCCACTGTCCTCTGTGGTGGGGGCTCGTGGGGAAAGGGCTTTTTTGTCTCCCGACTTGACTTGACTCAGCCGTCTTTTTGGCGGCTTTAAGGCTGGGTCCCCCATAGAGGGCAGGGGCTGGAAGAGGGGACCCTGCCCAGGCCTGGGCAGATAGGAGAGAAGCAGGTCAGGACCTGCATGTCCACGTCAGACATGGCTTTGAACCCTGGCTCTGCTGTTTACTAGCAGCATGGGCCTGGGCAGCTGTCCTGACTTCTCGGAGCCCCCATACAGCGGGGCACCCGCCACCTCGTAGTGGTGTCGTGGGGGACAATCGGGTCATGGGAGGAAGGCCCCAGTGCAGTTCCCGGCCCTCAGTGGTTGTGCAATCAACGGCAGTGAAATGTGGCTGGAGTCACGTGGCTTCAAGAGAAGCTAGGTATGGGGGCGTTTTGGCTTTGGTTTGTTTTTCCCGTCTCCTACTGAGGATCAGCTGCTGTGAATCAGTCAGCTCAAGATCTAGAGGAAGCATGCATGTCATGTGTTCAAGGACAAACCCTGAAGGGCACGGGTGCCCCGGCTGCGGGTCGAGATCACTCAGAAGGCTGGGCCACGTGCATGAGCCACGTGGGGAGGAGACCCTTTTCTTTGCGTAGCAGCAGCCTCCCTGCCAAAACTCAGAGGCCCGTGACCAGGGGAGCAGGGCCCCACTTCCTGAAGCCCCGCTGTGATGGCCACCCGTGAGCCCCTCCAGGTGGCCTCAGGACTGGGCGGGAGGCCTCAGGGCCAAGCCAGGCTTGGCTGTGTCGTGGGAGCCCGAGGGGTGGTGTGAGGTCCACCTCCCTGAGCCACATCAGCCACATCCCTGCCCACCTCTCTGAGCGTGGGGTCCAGGGCAGGCCGTCGGCAAAAGCGAAGTGGGATGAGGTTGTCCCGGGAAACCCCCTCCACTTTCCATGCCCTTCTCCCTCCTCCCTGGGTCTCCCACCCACAGCACCCAGGGCTCTGGGCAGCCCCTCCACCCCTCGGGGGGTCCCCACACACTCTCCCTTGTCTTTCCTCTTTCTCTCCCTACTAGTCTGCTTTGAAAAAGTGGCAGATGACAGGGAAGGTGGAGGTGGGACAAACAGGGGTCCTGGAGCTCTGACCACGAGTGTGACCTTGTCAACGTCCTTCATCGGGCCACAAACCTGATGAGCAGATTTAGCAATCACAGTAGCTGTCATCCTCCAGGGCCGCTGTGACAGACCTTTGAAGGGGCAGCTCATTTACTCTTTGCCACAACCCTGCAGAGTGAGGACCCCCGTCCCTGTTTTAGGAAGGTCAGGTGATGTTCTGGGATGTCACAGCCCAGAAGTGAACCGGTGTCTTCTGTGTGCAGCCTGCCCTTTGCCCCGCCTACGTGCAGGGGTGGTGAGCCTGGGACAGAGCTTGGTGCCCAGAGGAATTAACTGGACCGTCTCTGAGCCACTGCAGAAAAACAAGCTGAAAAGGTCAGACGATCGCAGGCGTCGCCCAAGGGTGTGGGGGTGCTCATGCAGGACACAGGTAAAGGTCAGGGAGGCGGCTGGCAGCCGTCACGGATCTGGGATGACACGGGAGGGTTTAATGAGCCGGGATGCCGCTTCTGCTCTGGGCGGCCACTCTGTCCAGGAGCCTGAGGGAGAAGTGCTGCCCAGACAGGAGGAGGAGTGAAGGGGAACGGGACCCCCTGAGGAGGCTCGGGGCACGGGCAGGCGCAGGACAACTCGGAACTCCGAAGAGCAGCGTCCTGTGGTGGGTGGACACTGGCCCCAGGACAGAGGCCCGGCGTCTCGGCCAGCTCAGACCAGCAGGCCCACTTCCACAGCCAAGTGGCCAAGGACACAAGGGGATAGGGGGCCGCCGTGAGGGCGGATGGAGACCAGCAGGCCCTGCATTCACCTGCCCCAGTACCTCACCCCTTCCCTAGAACCTTCTGGATCTGCTTCTCACTGAGGGAAGGAATTCCTGATTCTGCTCCCTCCTCCCCACTCGGGACCCCACCCCTTTCTCATCGCTTCTCTACTGATCACCTGCCTGGACGACTGGGGCAGCAAACAGAGGGGCAGTGGGGAACTGGAAGGAAGGCAGTGTTCCCCGGCTCAGCCCACACATCTAACTGGTGGGGTTTGGTGGCCAGAATGAACATCTCTCCCTGCCCCCAAAATACCCTCTACTGACCCTCCAGGTGCCACTGTACTTGAGAGGCCACCATGGGAGTCGTTCCCTGAGAACACCCTGTGGACGTGCTCGGGTGTCCCCGAGGAGGGCGGCCCCTGAACTGAGAGCAGGGCTCGTCGGCCTGGCTGCCTGTCAGCTGGTAACACTGGCCATCCTGGGGGCAACAGCACAGCGGACCTCAGAGGGGCCCTCCCTCCGGAGGTCCACACTAACTGCCCACCTGGCATCATCCTCCCCCCACTCCCAAGTCCATGACTCATTTCCTCCAGAAAATGTCACAGAAAACCCACCCAGCAGGCCTAACTCCTGACAAAGCACCATTCTGTGAGGGTACCCACCCCCACTGACCACTGGCCCACCACGTCCACCTCGGGTCACTTTCTTGTCTGTGACCCACAGGCAGCAGCTGCCCCACAATCCGTGATGAGACCGATCAGCAGTTCTCTCTGCAGTTAACACGAGTGTGATAGCACAAAACTCGCCACTCATGACCCGCAGAGAGGCTCCGGGGCCCCTGCCTGCTCCCTCCTCCCCAAGGAGCTGGTGGAATCCTGTGGCCAGGGGCAGCCAAAGCCAAGGTTTCTATTTCTGCCCCGTCCAGACACCCTGCTGCCCGCCCAGGCCCTGCAGACAAGCACGGGGCTTTGGGAGGGTGAGGCCCGGGTGAGTCGACTGCCCCTCCGTTGAGTCAGGATGACGATGACGAGGATGAAGCAGGAGCGGGCGCCCAGGGCTACAGCCCGCCCTTCCCCGCTGAGCACCAGCGGCCCTGAGGGCGCCACGTGGGATTGTGGGAAATGCCAGTGCGGGACCATAAGGCACGGGTGCAACTGTCCCAGTAGCTGAGTGTTCTAGGCACCTCGTGGCTTATTTTTAAGTCTTTTAATGTAAATAGACATGTTTCTAAAATGCCTGACTTCCTTATCATTTTTATCCAAATGTCATTTTCAGAATAGACTGAGGCCAGAGAGCTGCAAGGACTTGCCTGAAGTCACAAAGCCGGGGTCAGTCTAGCCAGGGCCGTGGCCCCAAACAGACTCCTGACCCTCCCCTGCCCCCACCTGGGGGCACACCTCACGTGGTGACGACCTTCCCCAGGTCCCTCGGGTCACAGCTGTGTGCGCCGCAGCCTCACGATGCGGGAAGGGCCTCTGCCCTTCCCCCTCCTCACGCGGCCTCTCTGTGCCGTGCTTTAGGCAGTTCTGTCCCGGGGCGTCTTTTCATCGCTTTTACCAGATCGTTCCTCCTCCGGACCGACTGTCGCGTGGCCTTCCTGGCTGCTTCCAGTGGGCCGGCAAACAGAATCCACTCTCCGGCTTTTCACTCCGCATTCCCCTAGGCTGGATGCCGCCCAAACAAACTTGCTAGAATTGTGTGTACATGAAAAACCAACAGTGGCTGAGCAGTGGCCGGCCTACAGACACACCAAGGGCCACTCGTTGTCACTGTGACTGCAGCCCCAGCACCCTGCTCAGTGCCCAGCACACAATAGACCCTCCACGGGTATCTACTGAGTGAATAAATACATGAGTAAATGACTAGCTAGCAAGTGAGTTAAGGGCAAGGACTGGGCGATCGTATTTCCTGTGGTCTAAGACACCAGATGGAGCCACAGTGGTTTGATGTCCCAGTATCAGTGTCGTAACCCCTCCCCCTCCCCACCCTTGCTGCACCCCCTGGGTTGCACGCCCAGGGCACTTCTCCACCACTGGTCGCACTCTCCACCCTACCCCCTTCTCCTCCCGCTCCCTGTGCAGGGCAAGTGAAGGAAGGCAGCTGACAGCCATCCAGCCTTCGCTCAGGGTCAGGCACTGGGCAGTACCTTTGCGATTTCCTTCAACCCTCAGTCCTGTGAGGAAAGTATTATGTTGCCCTTTCTGTTGCAGAGGAGCCCGGGACTGGGACATTAAGTAGCAAACTTGCCCAAACATCTAGGAAGTGAATGAGCCTAGAACAGGGCCACGCAGCACGGGCTGGGTGCTTGATACACGTCTGATGAAAGAATGACCACCAGTAAAATTGTCCCCAGGACCTAGCTGTGCCAAAGCTGAAATGCTTTCCACCGGGCCCTGTGGCCACCATGGAGGGGAGGTATTTTGGACAATGGGAAGAATGTGGGCTTCCTGTTGACCCCAAAGGTTGACACATCTGAGCTAAGGAGATTAGAGGCCCTACTGGAGGGGGCGGGTAGCTCCAGTTCAGAACTTTCCCCTCCCACCTCCCTCCCAACCCTCGAGAGGCTAGAGACCTGCAGGAGCTGCCAGAGGGAATGGTAAACAGCACAGGATGCTGGGAGCTTGGGTTGCTGCCAAAGCAAACGCACGTGCTCCCTGGGCCAGTCCTGCCAACGTGAGTCCCCTGGGAGGATTCATTCAACGGTCTGTGTGAGAGAGAGTGCGTCCAGCAGGCAAACAGGAAACACAGGTTCCCGCCCACCAGCGCCAGCGCTGCAGGGAGCCAAGGTGGTAACGCTTGGTGAAAGGGTCTCTGGGTGTCCTCTCTGCTCCTTCAGCAAAACGCCCCAGGCGGGGAGGGACCACCCTCCACATCACACTTCCGGATGACTCCCAGCTGGGCTATCACCCTCAGGCAACACAATGTAGTAATTAATGTAGGGGCAAGGTGAGAGCTGACCTACTGAGGGGGAAGCCTTGGCTGGGCTTCTGGTCGGTCACGTGACCTGGCACTGTCTGAGCCCCATTTCCTTTCTCTAAAAAGGGGCTGATGACAGTCCCTCATGGGGTTGTTGTGCATGTGAAACAAGATGAGCTATGTGCCTAAAGAAGTCCCCAAAGCACTGTGAACTCTGGCCCCCTAATCCCTTGTGCCCAGCATCCTCTCTGCAGATGTCCCCAACTCCTGGTGTGACCCCACTGTCCCCCTTTGCCTAGACTGCCTTGAATCCACCTCAAGACTCAGTGACATCCTACTCCTTTCTGAAGGCTCTGCTGAAATGGCGTCTCCTCTCTCATGGGTCCTCCACTCCCTGCCTGCCCAATAGCTGCACGATGACACTCCCCTCACGCCCAGGCGTCCCTGCCCACCAGATCACCCTCCCTTCTGCTCACAGCAGTTTCATTACTTACTAGGTATGTGGCATGGCGCTGTGCTGGGCAGTGACAACACAAGAATGACTATGTGCATGTGGCCCTGCCCCCTGCCCCCTCCCCACCCCCCAGAGCTTCTGGGTGCCTGGGTGAGACGCGCAGAGAACAGACTATGCCCACGCAGAGGAAGTACCTCTGCCAGCCCTGGGGCACAGGGTTGGGGCGCCACACCCAGGCTTGGGGCTCAAGGAAGGTCTCTTAGCAACTGCAGGGACTCGGAGACCTGGGCATGGCCAGGAAGGAACAGGTAAAAGAGCCTGAAACCACGTTCAGACAAAGGGAACATTGTATCTCTCACAAGAGCACCTGGCAGGCAGTGGCGTAATTACGTGTTCCCAGATCCTCCTCCCTTTCTGAGCTGTGAGCTCCAGCAGGCTGGTAAATTACTGTTTGATCTTTGTAGCCCCTCTCCTATCCTAGTACCTGGCTTAGAATGGGGACGTGTCCAATAAAGATTTGCTAACTGATGAATGCACAGTAGTGAACGGTATACCTGGGGAATCTGGGATGCCTGTGAGATGCATGAGGTCAGGGAGGCTGAAGTCACAGAAGGTGGGGAATGCAGGGAAACTGAGGCAGGAGCTGAGTCTCCAGAGCCGGGAGATGCTTTCTGCAGCTGGTAGTACTGACTGAACCAGCAAAGCCTTCAGAAAGGGTTTCTCAAATTTGGAACTAGGCCCTTTGACTATTATTCACAACTGAATGAGCAAGCTCATGCTCGAGGTCATTGTTAAGTCCTCCATTTGAGTTCAAAAGCACTTGTCCAGAAGAAAAGGGATTTGGCTTAGAAGCAGATTGTGTGTGGGGGGAAAAAAGTGTGGTTTTCTTTGATTGCAAGCTCGGCACAAGGGCAAAGTGAGGCTATATACAAGGCACAGCTCGCACAACCCGATTCCGACCGCACTCCGCTGGTCCAGCACACCTGGAGCACACATGTGGAGCCCCAGGTCAGGACACCACACCGCGGGAGAGTACTGAGCAGGCAGTGAGGACGGGGAGGGGCGGCAAGGGGGACTGGGACTTCCACCAAAAAAGGAAAGGCTGTATGGGCCCCGGATAGGCGTGATGGGATCCCAGAAAGGCCATCCCGGGGAGGGACTGCGCGGTGTTCCTCACAGCAGTGGCGGTCAGGTGGGGGTGCAGGCGTGGATTCTGTGCAGGAGGAATGCTCTGACCTGTAGGTGATCCACAGATGGGATGGGCTCCCTGGAGGGCGCTCTGCCAGCCGAGAGGATTTCTGCCAGGGCATGTGGCATGCTACCAGGAAGAGCAGAGAGCACTGGACGTGCAGTCAGAGGAGCTGGCTTTCTCCCACCTTCTGCCTGTGTGACTCTGGGTCTTCATTTTCTTTTCTTTTCTTTTCTTTCTTTTATTTTTATTTATTTTTTATTTTTTAATTTTAATTGTTCTTCCAGTACAGTTTTCTGTATTTTACTCCCATCCCAGCCCACCCTCACAGTCCTCCCCACCTCCCTCCCATTTCCACCCCCCTCCCCCAGTTTTTGTCCATGTGTTCTTTATACTTGTTCCTGTAAACCCTTCCCCTTTTCCCCTGAAATTCCCTCCCCTCGCCCCTCTGGTCACTGTCAGCCTGTTCTCTATTTCAGTGTCTTTGGTTATAATTTGCTTGTTTGTTTGTTTTATTGTTTAGGTTCCTGTTAAAGGTGAGATCATATGGTATTTGTCTTTCACTGCCTGGCTTATTTCACTTAGCATAATGCTTGGCAGCTCCATCCACACTGTTGCAAAGGGTAGGAGCTCCTTCTTTCTTTCTGCTGCATAGAATTCCATTGTGTAAATGTACCATAGTTTTTTGATTCATTCACTTACTGATGGGCACCTAGGTTGCTTCCAGCATCTAGCTATTGTAAATTGTGCTGCTATGAACATCGGGGTGCATAGGTTCTTTTGGATTGGTGTTTCAGGGTTCTTAGGATATAATCCTAGCGGTGGAATTACTGGGTCAAAAGGCAGATCCATTTTCAGTTTTCTGAGTAAGTTCCATACTGTTTTCCATAGTGGTTGTACCAGTCTGCAGTCGCACCAACAGTGCACTAGGGTTCCCTTTTCTCCACAACCTCTCCAACACTTGTTGTTTGTTGCTTTGTTTATGATGGCCATTCTGACTGGTGTGAAGTGGTATCTCATTGTGGTTTTAATTTGCATCTCTCTGATAGCTAGCGATATTGAACACTATTTCATGTGTCTCTGGATCCTCTGTATGTCCTCCTTGGAGACGTGTCTGTTCAAGTCCTTTGCCTATTTTTTAATTGGGTTTTCATTTTCTCATCTACAACAATATCTGCCCTGCTTTTCTCCCCTGGGTGTTTTGAGGGTCATGTGACGTGCTATACATGAAAGAACTATTTCAACTGCAAAGCCCTTTGGATACACAAAGGGCTGCTATATTATTCCCTCTAAATACTCTTCTGTGAACTGCACCTGGGCACTAGCTGCTAAGCCTGCCCTCCTTCCCTGTGGAGGCACAGCCCCCTGCCCGGCCCTCCCGGGACCGGCACTGACAGCCAGCCCCCCATCCAACTCGCCCCCCTCTCAAAGCGGCACATGTTCAGTCACACAGGCAGCAGCTCACTGGCCCTTGTGAGTTGGAGGCAGAGTAAAGATTCTGGACCTTCGCTTGACCACACCTCAGAGGTTCACAATGCAGGACGTGAGGAAACCGAGTCCAGAGGTGTTTGCACAGAGTAAGGAGGCAGTGTAACCATCCACCACGCTTGGCCTCTAGCTCCCTGCCTGGGTACCGGCCTCTTCGGAAGCCCACGTGTGTTGACCTGGATTCTGGAGTTACCAACTTAACCACGTTAGCTTCAAAACATACATCACTGCCTCCCAGGCCTCAGTTTCCCCTCTATAAATGGGACTGCTGGTCTCCTTGGATGGGTCCCCAGGTCCAGAGCCTTTAGTGAAGTAGAGTGCCACTGTGGAGTAGGCAGTATTGGCTTTAAATGCTGGTTTTGCCTCATCCTAGCTGTGTGACCTCAGGCAACTACTCCACCTCTCTGTCTCAGTTTTTTAACATGTAACCCAGGGGTAACTATGTTTGTCTCTAGGATCGTTTGTGAGAACTAAAAGAGATACTACCGGGAACTCGCTCAACACAGAGGTGCACAGTAAGTGCTGTCATTATCCTCACTACCTCGGAGGTCTTCGGACTCTATTGCAGCCACAGAAATCCCAGGACTTTTTTGTAGCAGAGCGAGTGATGGGTCACTGGGCCTATAGGGCACATGGAATCTCGGGGAGGGAGAGAGGCTAGTAGTCTCAGGAAAGTGAGGGAGACTTCAGGAACCTGGCCGGTCAAGGGAGTCAAGGTCCCTTGAGATGCTTCTCTAGTCACCTGGTGGGTTTCCAGACCCCCCTTCGCCGGGGGAGGGGTGCTTCCTGAGTCATGGGGTTTGTGGGAGGGGGCGATTCTAGAGTCCTGGGGTTCTCAGTCTCTCGCGGGTGCTTCCCCAATTCTGGGTCTCCAGGGGTTTCCTCCGGAATCCTGGGTTTGGGGGCCCGCAGGCGGCCGGGCCGCCGAGCAGGTAAGACTGACGCGCCGCTCCGCAGGTGCCCCGGCGCAGCGCTGGTCCATGCAGGTGCCGGCGGAGGTGAGCGCGGCGGCCGGCGAGGCGGCCGTGCTGCCCTGCACCTTCACGCACCCGCACCGCCACTACGACGGGCCGCTGACGGCCATCTGGCGCGCGGGCGAGCCCTACGCCGGCCCGCAGGTGTTCCGCTGCGCGGCGGCGCGGGGCAGCGAGCTCTGCCAGACGGCGCTGAGCCTGCACGGCCGCTTCCACCTGCTGGGCAACCCGCGGCGCAACGACCTCTCGCTGCGCGTGGAGCGCCTCGCCCTGGCCGACGAGGGCCGCTACTTCTGCCGCGTGGAGTTCGCCGGCGACATCCACGACCGCTACGAGAGCCGCCACGGGGTCCGGCTCCGCGTGACGGGTGAGCTCGGCCGCGGGGCTTTCCCTCCTCTCCGCCGTCCCTCCCGCTCTGGGGTGGGGGCCGCCTACTAGGGGCGGGCTCTGTGCGGGCCTCTAGCGTAGGAAGGGGATCGATACACACGTCTTTCTCCGGAGCTGGGCTCTCACCCTTGGCAGTGGTTACGGGCAACCTGGGCCTTTGTCAAAGATGCAGAATTCCGGCCCGGGAAGGGCTGGGTGGGGCCTGGGAGTGAGCATTGTAACGAAGCTCTCAGAGGGTGAAAGTCCCCAGTAGCTCGCAGTTCAGGGGAGAGAAGAACTCGTGAACAGTAACCCTCCGTGCGGCCGGAGCTGCCAAGAGGTGAGTGCCGTGTGCCCTGAACAGCAGCCGCACCCCCTGCGAGGTGCGCGCGGAGCCGCAAGGTGTGGAAACCAGGGCCCCGGTCCCCAGGGCAGCGGTGCTCAGCCCTGGCTGCACACTGAAATCACCTGTGGAGCTTTGAAAAGTCCTGGATCCCCTGCTATGGTGGGGGGTGGGGCGGTGGGGGGGGCGGGTGTCCAGGAGGAGTTCTGGGTTCGAGTCTGGCTCTCCCAAGAACTTCTCCCGTGCCCTTGGACGGGCTAGACTGCCAGAGCGCATTTCAGTGTCTTCCCAGAGTTGGCATCTACCTAACACAGGCCGCGGGTTCCGTGAGTCTCAACTCTAGCTCCAGGCGAAGTCGCCGGGTTGTGGGAGGTGCCCCTGAAATCCCACCAGCAGACTGCCCCAACCCTGTGCTGCGGCAACAATAACCACCGTCTACGCGAGCACTTCCTATGGGCCAGGCCCTAGTCCAAGCACCCCGCACGTACTAGCTTGGCAAATCTTCTCACCAGCCCTATAAGTGAGTGGTTCCCATTTCCCACACGGAGGAACTGAGGCACAGCAGCGGAATAGTTCGACCAAGGCCACACCTGCACTGAGACCCGGGCAGCCTGGTGCCCACTCCCTCCTTTCCGCATTCCTCCCACCTGTTCCAACTTCCTGGGCCACTCAAGGGGACAAGGAAGGGTACCCCTTCTCCTTGTCTGCCCCAGGCTAGCCCTCTGATAGTGGTTCCCTCTCTCCCGCACGCCCCGCCCCGCCCCGCCCCCTTTACTGCCTCCCACAGCTGCCCCGAGGATCGTCAACATCTCGGTGATGCCCGGTCCCGCGCATACCTTCCGCGCACTCTGCACGGCCGAAGGGGAGCCTCCGCCCGCTCTAACCTGGTCTGGCCCCGTTCTGGACAACCTCTCGGCTGCCCGGCCGGGCCCGGGTCAGGGTTTCGGCCACCAGGTGACCGCCGAGCTGCCCGCGCTCGCCCATGACGGCCGCTACACGTGCACAGCCTCTAACAGCTTGGGCCGCGCCGAGGCCAGCGTCTACTTGTTCCGTTTCCACGGTGCTTCTGGGGCCTCAGCACTCACCCTCCTGCTCAGTGCGCTGGGCCTCAAGGTGCTGCTGCTGCTGGGAGTGGTGGCCGCTTACACCACCCACCGCCGCCTAGGTGGGTGCTCCTGGGACAGGGTGGGTGCAAGGGGAGCAGCAGGGCGGGCACTGTCCTTTTAGGTAAGACCATCTGGCTGGCACCTGGCATGACACAACCCAAACATCATTTTTGCACAGAGACATCATCTCCGTTTCCTCTACCTTCATCCAGCCCCAGGAGGTGGGGACCGGGATGAGCCCATTTTACCATCTGGAAGCTGAGGCCAGCAAGGTTAAGGAACTTGCCTCTAGCCTGGAGTCACAGAGATAGAGACCCAGCCAGTACAGCTCTGGAGTCCCCTCCCCTTTTCCACCACCCATCAAGGACTCCTCCCTAAGACCCCTGACAGTGCACAGGCTTTGCCAAAGAGCACCATTGCCTTAGTTACAGCAGCATCTTGAGGGCCTCCTGGCGCTGTGTAGGTGCTAGCAATACGGAGATGAATAGAAAGAGGGTCCCCTGCCCTTGGACGGGATGCTGAGGAGTAAGCAGGTAACTGCAGTCTGCACAAGTGTCCCCTACAGTCGGGACGCTGCAGACGCCCAGGGTATGTGTGCATCACTCTGGTAGGCATCTGGACAGGGGTCTGGAGGAAAGGCTTTCCACAGGAAGGGGAGAGGGAGAGTGAAATCATGAGCTAGGAGAACTAGGAGCTAATGGTACGCCCAGCAGAGGGAACAGCATGTGCAGAAGTGTGGAAGGGTAAACTAGCAGAGCGTCCTCAGAGAGAGACACAATTTGCCCCACATTGCTCTCACTGGGCCAGAGGGGAGCTTTGATTCTGTGCCCTGGAGGGGCACTTCCCAGAGCCACTCAGACCACCCAGGTCAGTACCACCAGCCTCAGACTCTCCTGAGAGGAAATCCAAAACATGTCACAGCTGCCCTGGCTGCCACCTTGCTAGGGCCACACTGGCCCTCTCGCTGGTCCCTCGGACTCACCAGCAGTCTGTGCTGAGGGCTGCAGAAAGGAGGGTTTTCCTGTTGGACAGCTTCTCAGCCACCCTGCTCCTGCATCTTTTGTGTGACTCCTTCCCACCCTGCTAGCTTGCGGTTGTCCCACGTTCCCCTCAGGCCACTCTCCACAGCGGGCAGGGTGGACGGCAGGGCCTACAGTCTAGGCCCCCGTGTAGATTCATGCCCTTTCTCTTCCTCCTTGTCTCCCCCACAGAGCATCCAGCCACCCAGGACACCCCACCACGGTAAGTGAGCTACCCTGCCCCCAGTTGACCAGGCTCTGGTCTTCACTGGCCCAGGGGTGCAGGCTCCTCAGGGTGGACCACATGAGGAGAAAGGAGAGACAAAGGGCCAGGGCTGGGGGCCCGGCCTTGACCAAGGTCTAGGCCCTCCCTGCGGCCTTCAGAGGAGCTCCTCCTTGAGTCCACCGTGCCTTCTCAAGCCAGGCCAGGCCACGGTGGCCTGTCCTCCCCAACCCACCCACCCCACTCCCAGCACTTCTTGTCTGGGCCTCTCACTGGCATCTCCCCCAGGCCTGCCTAGTGTCCTGGGGCCAAAGGGTCACTTTTCTGGGTGCCTGTCTGATCTCTGCACCAGGATGCGGCTCCTCAAGGCCATGTCTCCTCTCGGAGTGACCAGCCTACTGGTACAGGCGAGCCCATGCCAAAGCCACCTCAAGGCCCCCTTTCCACCAGACACCCTGCTGAGGCTTTGCAAATGAATGTCATTAGAGGTGCTGAGGGCTTATGTCAGGGGCCCAGGGACCCAGCTAGGAGGTGTGGACCCCCCACCCGTGCTCCCACATTCTTGGTGTTCATCCAAGGGAAGGCTCATGTTGACGAAGAAAGAATTCAGATCAGACCCCAGGTGGTCCGTCTGAGACACTGGGTTAGGGCCGGGGTGAGGAGGAAGACAGTCTTCCAGGGCCCATTAGCAGAGCCCAGGCCCCGCCCCCGTAGCTGCACTCCACCTGTGCCCCAAGGGCTGCGGAAGCCACACCGCCAGCCCGAGCCCCTCCCCGCAGCCGCCTGTACAATGATCCCCCACATTCTCAGGTGCCCATGCAACATCCCTTTTCTTCGCCCATTTACTACTGCACCAAGGTGCCTAAACCGGAACACTGTTGTTCAAACATTTATTGAGCACCTCCTGTGTACACATGTTTTAGATGTTAAAGATACAGCAAAAACCCCCAACCTCAGAGAACTCAAACTTCACTGTGGGGATTTTTAGCAAAACCATCTTAGATCTTAAAATAAGAGCTGTGAAGGAAACCAACAGGACAATGAAGCCGAGCCCCAGGGTAGGGAGGGGCCACTGGACTGTGGCTGCTTTAGGTCAGGACATCCTCTCTGACGACAGGACCTTGGGGATACCTGAGCCCGGAGGGGCAGGCAGGGTGGTAGGGGTGATCCAGGAGGACACGGCAAGCTGAAAGGCTCCGAGGAGACCTGGGAGAGAGTGAGGTAGGCTGGCAGGCTGCAGGATTCATTCTGAGTGCTCTGGGAAGTCACTAAATGGGTTTAAGTGGACGACTGTCCCCATCTGAGCAGAAAAGGGGGGCAGGAGGCTTGTGAGGAGGCTGCTGGCCAAGGCTGAGGCTGGCATGGCTGCTGGATGAAGGTGAGAGTTAGCGGAGGCAGGCTGAGGGGGCAGGGCTGGCGGGAGGACTGGGTGGGCAGCACGAGGGAGGGAGGGGCCGGGATGCCCAGGTTTGGAGCTGGACCCTGGGTGCCACTCACTGAGATGCAGCTGAGGAGAGAACAGAGAGGGGGGAGTGAGGATCCCGTGAGCACTGCGGACACTTGGGATTGAGATGCCCACTCAGACGTCTCAGAAGCCAGGAAGGCAGCTAGAGCTCAGGAAAACCAGGCCTGCAGGTTGGGGACACAGAGGTGGTTTTTTGAGGGCACAGATGAGATCCCTGTGAGAAGAGACACTTTGCAGTCTGGGACACGGTCGGCACCCACGCAGTCCGCTCCCATTCCGCAAGCTCTGCACCGCCCTGCCTCCAGCCTCCAGCTGGTGTCCAGGGCCTGTCGAGTCGGCCACCTCGTCTCTCCTTCCTGCCCCTTGCTGGGCTGTGGTTTGGGAAGTCGAGGGCCCCCACTCCCTGTATTGGGTGATCAGCCAACTTCTTCTTGTCCACAGGCCTCAGGCCCAGGAGTCCAATTATGAGAATTTGAGCCAGATGAGCCCCCGGAGCCTACGGGCAGCCACGTGTTCACCCTGAGGAGCCCCTCAGCCACAGGCTCCACCTGTGCACCGAGAGCTGCAAAGGTCAACGCGAGGCTTGGCTGGGGCAGCCCTTCCTGGCTTTCAGGCACCGTGGCGGCCGCTCTGGGGCTCGGGACCCCACTCACAGGGGCTCAGCAGTCTCCCACATGGACGGACATCTGTCTCGGAGCCCCGGCAGTATTACGTCAGTGGGGCCGGCATTTTGAAAGAGCGCGTATACATCTGAGCATGTGTGAGCTCCAGTGTGAAACTTCCAGAAGAGCCCCTCTCACCTTTTCTCACCTAGAACATCACAGTAAAGCGGGCAGGACACTGGTCATCGCGTCTCGAGGCCCAGACTCCATCCTGACTCTGTCGCCAACTTGCTATGTGGCCTAAGGCCCTTTTTTTCTCCAGAGGACCTGGTTTCAGTTCCTCCACTGTGGAGTGTGGACAGTGATATTCTCCCCTCCTGGCTGGTAGGACTGTCGGGGTCTGAGGGTCCCAGGGACTCGTGGGGGCACCGGGCTGTCTGCAGAGGTGAGGGCCGTTACAGGCCCTCCTCGAAGAGCTACCTTGGGAAAGGCAGAGAGTTCCTGGCCGTGTGGTGCCCGCAGCAGCCTCGCTGAGAACACGAGTTCCAGAGAACAAGCCGGAACCTGGGGCTTAGGGGCTGGGGCCGTGCAAACCTGGGGCCCCAGAAAGAGCAAGTCAGTGATGAGAAGGAGCCTGGTGCCTCTGCCCCTGGTGTCTCCTCTGTGAGTGCCCCACCCTTTTCGCCCACCTCTTACCCCATCAGTAGCTCTATACTGCCTCGAGCTGGGGCTCCTGGGAAAAGGAAACGAAGCACCAAACACCATCTCTCAAAGCACCTGGAACCCACTGTCCTCACGGTGGGGAAACCTCAGGGAACATCGAGGCTGCAGGGTCCCCATGGACGAAGCAACTGCAGCTCTCGCCTCTCTCTAGGACCTGCACCCCGCGCCCCCACCCCAGGAGGTACAGCAGCTTCACCCCATTGGCCGAGTCCTGCCAGGCTGAGTTGGCAGGGTTCTGCCTTCCACATTCACGCTTCAGCGTGAACCTGATTGCTTCAGCTCCTGCAGTCCTTGGGTCAGGTGGCAGCGGGGAGGTGCGCCTGAGACCAGGGGAGCTTGCCCCCCAGGGGACTGAAGAGGCCATGGGAACAAACTTGCTTCCCTTCAGAACTTCTCCAAAGGCTGGAATGGTACCCTACAGTGAGCACAGGGACTCTGTGATGTTTCCTGCAAGACGGCCTGAAGGTTGAGAGATCTTTACAAGTTAACGGGCAAGGCAGTGGGTCATGAGGTTGCCCTCCTTGCCAGGGCCTTCGCCAGGGCAGGCGGGTGATGGCGGTTGTGGTGCCTGAGCTGTTAAACGGTCAGAGGAGTTGGCATTCTACCTCCTTACAAAGGATACTCCGGGGCACCTCAAGGGACAGTCAGTCCCGTATCAGCAGGGAAGGAGTGAAGGACGCGGGATCATGTGTCTTGGAACCTCTACCTGGTCTTCAAGGCCAGGTTCACAGCCCAGAATAGAGATAAAAACTATTTCTTATGCATCTGCTGTGTGCTGGGAACTGGGCCGAATGTTTGGGGGTGCAGCACTGAGTAAGGCGTGCATCTCAGTCAGGCCGTAGTGACAAGCCAACCCCAAATCACAATGGCCAAAGGCAGTGGGAGTGTATTCTCACTGCGCCAGCTGCCATCACAGAGCGGCGGGCGGCTTTGCTCACTGAGCTGACTTAGGGCTCCACCGTTTCTAAGGCTGTGGGGCTCTCGGTTGGAGATTAAAAGCAAGCTCTAGATGGGGTCTCCTGTTTGTCATTGTGGTCCACTGGCCAGAAACAGCCGCATGTCCCACTCGCCCTCGAGGGGCTGGGCAGTGCAGCCCTGCACTGTGCCTGGAAGAACAGCCAGAAAGAAGGCTTGAGGACTGCCCTGAGGACTCCACAGTTAGTGGGAAGTCGTGGAAGGGCAACAGCGTGCTGGGGTGCTAGGGGAGCACATGACAAAGGGGGTGACTGGCCCAATCTTGGGAAGGCTTCCTAGAGGAGAAGACATGGGAAGGGTACACGCTAGCGTGCAGATGGGGACAATGGAGGTTGGGAGATAGAAAAGACGGACACTAGAAGCAGAAGGGGCAGTCTGAGCAAAGGCCAGGCGGTCAGACACAGCGTGATTACGTGACTGAAAATTCTGGAGCGTGGGGGTGGGGGCCGGGTGGCCGGAGCTGGAGCCGCAGCAGGGGCCTCCAGCCCCCACAGCAAGGACAGCAGCAGAAGGGAGTCAGGGCACCCGAGGGGCCGCGCACGTGCTGGCTCCTGTTCTGCTTCAGCACGCTGCTCTCCCCTGTGCGTGTGACCGCTGCGCCTGCTCCGGCCCCACACTGCTCCGGGGCTGGGTTTCCACCGTGGAACTCTGGGCACTGGGAGCAGCGTTTCCCCAGTGGGTCCCAGGGGTCCTGAACCAGGAACAGCTCAGGGGCTCGCTCAGCTCCCCATCCTGAGCGCCTCCCCGACTTCCTGAATCACAGGCTCTGAGGGCAGGGCCGGAATTTCAAACCAACCCTCCAGGCGGTTTTACCCGCACTTTGTTTCATGATCGTTTTCAAACACACACCCAAAGCTGAAAAAGTAAGATGACCACCCAGGTACCACTGGCTCCACTCAGCAGTTACTGACATTTTGCCGTCTTTGCTAATGCACATGTGTGTGTCTGGCTGAACCGTCTGTGAGTGAGCTGCAGACATCACAGCACTTTGCCCCTAAAGACTTGTGTCTTCTGAGAACCAGAGCATTCTCCTCCATAACCTCAACGTCATTATCACATTTGAGAAAATTAATAATTCAATAATATGGTCTTACAGCCCACATCCACATTCCCCAAGGGTGGCCCTTCTTGCGTGTTGGCACTTCTCGGAGCAGGGCTTCCTGGAAACAGAAGCAGCAGCATTCCTCAAAGGAATGCACCTCTGACGGAGTGAGTGGTTCCGGACACAGTGGCGGGCCCGGGCGCACACGGAGGAGGGGCAGCAGAGGGTCCCTTTGGCACGCCCTCTGACAACTTGCTCACAGTGCACAGGCAGCCTCCTGCTTGGTCTCCAGATGGAGCAGCTGTTCTAGGGGCAGAAGGGGAGGGGACTGTCCTCGACCCTAACCAGACCCCCTGGACTGGCCTGGGAGCCTGGCCTTCTCACCGAGAGGTCTGGGTGGAGCAGATTTCCCTAATCAGACCCCCTCGGAGCACTCAGGTTCTATAGGTGGCAACAGGGTGAGAGCCCCTGGCAACAAGCTCAGTCAGCAGTGTCCTGGGATCAAGTTGCCGAGAGAAGAGTCCTGGGAGGCCTGGTGTTTTCCAGGTGGGACTCCCAGTGTGGCCCAGGGTGCAGAGCCGTAGCCTTCCCTTCCTCAGCGCAGTGTTCTGGGAACACGAGCCCTCTGTTCATTCCTTGAGGGGCTCCTGACAGCCCACAGGCTCCTCCCGAGGCCTAGCCACCCACGGGACTGCTGGAGGGGGCAGCAGGAGAAAGAGGCAACAACTGCCCAGGTGCCTGCCCAGATCCACCAGGAGTCCAACACACTTCCCCTGCCCTCAAAGAGCTAGCTAATAGCCTAAATTTTAAACGGAGATGTAGCTACCCAAGAAGACAAAGTCCGTGAGACAGTAGACATGGAAGGTAGCCCCCACCTTGGGATGGGAATAACTCGGTGGGGCTGAGTTTTCCCACACGGCCCCCTTCCAGACTGGATGAGACAAGGTGTCTACCTTCAGGCCAGAGGGACCTTAGAAACCAGGAGGTGGGAGTCCTGGACTGGCCCCACCTCCAACCCTGGGCACTTGGATTCAGCCTCTGCCTCTCCACAACAGCAGCTGCTCCCACTTCTGGAGCCCTGCTCCTCAAAGCCCCCTTCCCCTCTGCGACCTCAGGTGGTTCTCTCCGAAAACCCAGGAGACAGTAAGGCGTCAATGGCCCTCACTTTGAAGTGAGGGCAAAGCCTCAGGGAGAAAAGCGATCTGGCCAGCATCACACGTTCTGCCCTCCCACCTCACTTGGCCCTTCCGGGACATGTCTCACAAATGCTAGTAAAAAACGAACACTGAGGGAGACCTCCCGGTATTCCCATGCCGCAGTGATTTCCAGAACAAGCCACGACCAAGCTCAAGTTCCACTGCCTTCCCCTGGCGGCCCAGCCCTCCCAGAGGTGCCCTCACCCCCACCCAGGAACTCAGGCGGTGGGACCCTTTGTGCAGCTTAATGTCCCGCCTACCAACGTCCCAGCCACGAGATGGACCCTCGGGCTCTCCTGAGCGCCCTGGAATCACCAGCTGCCTTCCTGTCTACCCCATTTCTTACCTCCCAAGGTTTCCGTTCTCTTTAGAGGCCTTGCCCCTTGGAGTGAAATGTCACAGATTACAGGTTCTACCCATTCCAAGCTTTCTAATTTCCCATTTCGTCTTAGCGTCATTTCTGGGTGAAAAGTCCTACCAACAAGCTTGCCAAAAAAATGAGACATACCCACCACGTGTGAATGAAATTTGAATCTAGTTTATTTCACCAATTCTCATTTCTTCCTATTTCTCATCATTATATAACAAAACTTCTCCTTTGTACAAGTGTGTTAAATGCTGAACAGTAAAGAAGTGAATGGTGCATATTTAATGACCAAATTCAGTCGTGGTCTTTAAAGGCCACACTAGACATGTGGGAAGAAAACAGAGTTGAACACACTTAAGAGTATTTGTTGCCACGCTGGTGATTTTAAGCCGTGGAAAGAAAAGTAAGTTCCAGCCCCCAGTGCTCAATGCAAGGTATTACATTTGCACATTAAAAAATAAAAGTTACAATAATCAACATTCTTTCGTGGTTTTATTACCCCTGAATAGGGCCAGTAGTTCCCTTTTCTCAAGCTCCTGTCATCAGAAACCGGGGACCTCGTCCGACTGAAGGCAACGTGGACTGTCGCTTCTTCAGGCCGAGCTGCCTCGTGATGCGGGAGGACCTTGCAGACCCGGGCAAGGTCAGGGCCTGGTTGTACGCCAGGAACTGCCCCCAGCTTGACCGAGACACAAGTGGAAGACCACAGCAGAGGGTACTTTTTTTTTTTAAGCAAACCACTTGTTTCCAACATTTTGCTCAGTAAGGCAGTTAACTGAGCAGGAAAAAAAAATCAGCTACCACCTCCAAATACGCTGTAACGCTGGTCCCACATGAAGAGCAGGCAGTTTTAGAGAAGCACAAAGCACCTTATTGAGGCCCACCGTGCAGGCAGCCCAGACCAGTCTCTGGCAGCAGCGGATGCCGGACAGGCCTGGAGCTGGCACTCCCCCCCGACTGACGGAATGCACCGCCCAGGGCACAGATGCTGACAGCTGATACCACTCGAGCCCAGGAGGGTGAACACACACTGCTGGCCTGCACCAGCGTGATCAAGTCCCAGGGCGGGGACCGGGCCAGGACACAGAATATAGGACACTCTTGGCATCTGCGGGTGAGTGACAACATTTGTGCCCTGGGTGCATTTGTCTCGCCTGGGTCCTCGCCCTGCTCATCCCGGGCTCGGCCCTTTTAGCTTGACATGGCTACTTCAGGCACCTGACCAAGTGCAGCCCTGCCAGACACTGTGTCAGACCAGGACAGCGAAAGGCACTGAGCATTCAGCCTGGGGAGGACAGAGGCCAGGCTGGTGGGCGGGGGTCAGAGGTGTGAGAAGGTCTCAAAGCGTCTGGAGGTCTGTCAGGAGGCGTAAGAGCAGCCGCAGCCGGGCAGCCCCAGCAGGACCAGTTTTGGCTAAATACAAAGAGTCTGTCAATAGCCCCCGTGGTTGTGGGACCACCTGCCGAAGGAAAGGGCAAAAGAGGAGCTGGAGGGCTGGGGCTGGGGCTCCCTGCTGAGTGAGAGGTGGGACTGGATGAGCTCTGATGCCCCTGCGGACTGGGGATCCCATGACATCTGCTTGCTGCTCCAGAAGAAATCATCAATTTTAGGCTTAAAAACCCACCGGAAAGCTGTGCATCACCTTCATTCAAAAGGAAGAGAGGGCGAGAGTGTTCTCACACTCTAACTTGTACAATGTGGACACACTGATTCTGGTGACCGATGGGGAGCACCGGGGTTGGCACCGAGTTAAAACGAAGTCAGGCTGCTCTGGGAGTTTCATTCTCTGGACTAGGCCTCCCCCACCTCAGAGGACAGAGACACGGGCACCACCCCGGGAGGCAGACGTGAAAACAGAGAGGTGCCTGGGGCTGAGGCCCCTGGGTGCCCAGGAGCTTGGGGAACACGTGGGGGCGGGTCCTGATCCCCATCAGGCTGAGCAGACGCATCCGCAGGACCTCCCTCCCTTCGCCTCTGTGCCTCCCAGATCAGCATCCTCTGTGCACTGCGGAGCAGGGACACGAGTGGAGGAGCCTAGGAGATGCTTTCCACAAGACCGGGAAGCTGACAGACAACCCCAGTCTGCACCGGATGCCACTGATGGCCACATGTGCTCGTTCACCGTCAACACTGCTGGACCCAGAGGTGGCCTTGGTCTTGCCAGACCCAGGGAGCCACATGCAGCACCGGTGACTGGCTCAGGGGCTGGCCCTGCGCTCTCCGGACACTGACCGCTTTTGCCAGCAGTGGCTCGTTACTCCTGAGGGCCAAAGGTCACACGGGGTGTCCCCAGACCCAGGAGGCTACAGCAGCATTGCTGCCGCTGAACTCCTAGTGTCTTTAAAGAGCTTTCTCAGTCCAGAGCCTCCCAACGCAGTCAGTAGTACACCACCTGTTACGCACGAGGGAGTTAAAGCAGCAGCACTTTGACCAACCATATCTCTGACATTCAAGTTCCACTGTCAAATAAAGGACATGTCGTCAGGCACAGACACCTTCATCAACCTTAACGACTGCAAAAGTTCACAGGACCGTGTGACAGCCTAAAAATCAGATTCCGACCAGCTACAATCAAAGAATGATTTTATTTTTTATAATTTTTAGAGACCAAGTACATTATAAATATCATAAACCTTCAAAAATTAACAGATTAATCATAATTTTCTTTAAAA